GTGTTTACAGTGTCTTGTCGAAGATGTGAGTTTGATTCCCAAGCCCCACTAAAAGCCAGTTGTGCTTGTGTGGTAGTGATGTGCACCTCAAATTCAATATTTTACATGAAAATTAGAGATAGGCCCAGCTTGTAATGGAGCCAAATTCCATGGACTTCAACATTAGTTTGTCAACAGTTTGAAGAAATGGGTATCTCTCCCCTGCTCTAGCCACTTACCTTTATCTTTACACCATCCTCCCACACACAACAGACCCAGCAAACCCTGAGCTCATAATTGTCCCTGTACCTCCACCTTTTCAGAATAGCATGGACTTGGGATCATGTAGTTTATTGTCTTTTCAGATTGTCTCTGGCTTTCTGTCTCAGCGATAACACTCGAGATCATCCATGGTGTTTTCTGGCTTGATTGGTCGCTCTTTTTTTTTTTTTTGCTGTAAAATATTCCCTTGCATAAATACAGCAGAATTTATTTTACCTATTCATGTGTGAAAAATCATTTATTATTTTTATTTGATTATTTATTGTAAGTAAAGTTCCTATAAGCACTTATGTATAGATGTTTTGTATATATGTTTTTATTATTTCTATAAGTATTTAATATCTGCCCACATCATTTTCTGACCTCAGTGGTGGCACTACCTGTCACTTCACATCTTCACTGATGCCTTGTGTTTCAATGTTTTTGAGATTTGTTTATTAAATTTAGTCTGTAATACTCTTCATTGTGTAAATGTGTCACATTTTCTTTTTCCATTATTCTGTTGAATGTCCTCTAGGTTGTTTCCAGTTTCTAGCTACTTAGAATGAAGAGATAAAGCTTCTATGAACATAGTTGAGCAAGTATCCTTGTGCTATCGTAGAGAATCCTTTTGGTATATACCCAGGAGTATTATAGCTGAGTCTTGAGATAGATGTATTCCCAATTTTCAGAAAAGTTGTCATATTAATTTCCAAAATGGTTGTGCAAATTTTCTCTCCTACCAGCACTAGAGAGTGTTACTCAGCTGTAAAAACAATGACATCACAAAATTTGCTGGCAATGGATGGCAGTAGAAAAGATTATCCTGAGTGAGTTAATCAGTAAGAAAAACATAATCGGTGCCTAGGCCAACTGTCTTCAGAGAGGCTTTATCCAGCAACTGAAGGAAACAGCTACAAAGTCCAACAGCCAAACTTTAGACTGAGCTCTGGGAATCTTGCAGAAGATGGGGAGAAAGGATTGTAGGAACCAGAGAGGTCAAAGTCACCACAAGAAAACCCACAGAATCAAGTGACCTGTGTGCAGTGGTTCACAGAGACTGAACTGACAACCAGGGAGCTTGCACGGGACTGCGTAAATGTTACTCTTGTATAGTTTGTTCGTCTAGTGAAACTCCTAATAGTGTGAGCAGGGACTGTCTCTGACAGGAGGGAACCTTTCCCTCCTACCTGGTTGCCTCATCCAGCCTTACTTAAAAAAGGAGATGCCTAGTCTAACTGCAACCTGGTAGGTCATGGCTAGCTGATCACTCAAAGAAGACCAGCCTTTTCTGTAGAAAAACAGAGAATGAAGAGAGGATGAGGGGAGGGGAAGTGAAATGAGGGCTTGGAAGGAGAGGAGAGAGGGAAAACATTGGAGGATCAGATTCACAGACTGATCTTCACATAATTTCTTAGAAGCCAGGTCCATGGTTGCAGGGGGATGGGGTGGCAAAGAACAAAAGCTGACTTTGTCGTGATGTGTCTCTATGGAGTTGTGTAGGCCCAGGCCCAAACCTGTTGCCACCGAGCTTTTCTGTGAATTCCCACACCCGATTGAGGCGTGTGCTTTCCCAAACCGAGTCCACGAGAATGGACGATTGTCCTAAGGGTTGAAGCACAAAGACACAAGAGACCTGCTCATTCACCAAAGAGTAAATGGCAACTTTATTAAACTCAAATCGGGTATTTATATTAGTGGGCAAAGGGAGCAAAAGGGCAAAGCTCCCATCAGGAGCAGTGGAAGAAGATGACAGGTGCCCTGTGCCTAAGGCCAGAATCAGCTGCAGGAGGCAGGTGTGGCAGGAGTATAGGGCCGGCAGCTGGAACCTTGTTACAGGTGGAATTACCATAACAAAAGAGCCAAGTTCTTTCTAAGCTATACCCTCAGGCTGGTGCTAGTGCAGAATCTCCAGGGAGCCAGAGGTCAAATGGCCCTAAGAATCGCCACGAAAAAGGGAAAAAGACCTGGGTACCTACCTACACAAGCCTTATTTGAGTGTGGACTGGTCACTCCTACTGTGTTCTCTGAGAGACATCTGAGATATGGGCAATGCTCTATTTTGCTTTATCTGTCTTGGAAGTCCACAATTACTTAGCTGATAACATCATGCAAATTGATAAGTCTGTTGATAAGAATGTCGAATTTGTTTTTTTATGTTTTATCCTAATTTTATTATTTCTACTATTAAAAATTTCAAAGACTATGGAAAATAATATGTTTGTTCAACATTTTCAGTCATCATCTTTTTTTAAATATTTAGCTGATTTCTATTGTTTATTACTTTATAAATAATGCCATTCCAAATTTTCACTTCCTCTCCTCCTCCCACTCCCCTCTAGCTCCCACCCATTCCCTCTCCCCCTCCAATCCTAACAGAGAGCAGGGTACCCTGCCCTGTGGGAAATCCAAGGCCCTCCCCACTCCATCCAGGCTTAAGAAGGTGTGCATCCAAATAGAACAGGATCCCAAAATGCCAGTACATGCAGTAGAGACAAATCCCAGTGCCATTATCATTGGCTTCTCAGTCTGCACCAATTGTCAGTCACATTCAGAGGGTCCAGTTTGGTCCCATGCTCTTTCTGTCCCACTTTAGCTGTATTTGGTGACCTTGCATTAGCTCCAGCACACTGTCTCAGTGGGTGGACCAAACCTTAGTGGTATTGACTTCCTTGCTAGCTCAACTTCCTTAGCCATTGGTCAGCTTCTTAAAGCCATTGATAAAGGCACTGGGACTTGTTTCTACTGTATGTACTGACTTTTTGGGACCCTAGTCTATTTGGATGCAAAGCTTCCTAGGCCTGGATGTAGGAGGGAGGGCCTTGGACTTCCCACAGGGCAGGATTCCCTGCCCTCTCTTAAGGAGGGAGGGTGAGGGAGGAGGATGAGTGGGGGAGCAGGAGGTGAATGGGAGGAGGGGAGAAAGTGTAAATTTTTGAATGGAGAAGAAATAAAAAAATCTTTTTATAGACTATTTGTTTCCTTTATTGCAATGATGTGTGATTGAAATGTCTGAATTTTCTACATGAAAATTCTGATTTATCCAGTCCAATTAGATACTGAGGAACACACAGCCTAAATTATGGTAAAATAACATAAAATAAAATAAATTGAAAGATATATAGCTATGTATTTTTTATTATGTTTCTGTTCTATTTGGGTTTAAATTTTGTGTTTCTAATGAAGAAAATATTCATAACTCAATTACTTATAATGATGTAACCTCAGAATCATTCTATATTAAATAATAGATATTCATTTGGGAGTCATTAGTAATGTGGTTAGTGTTCTCAAGAATTGTATGTGCTGATGGAGATGTCTGTGTTCACTGATGCCATCCTGATCTAGTTTTAACCAGCTTTTGTGTAAGTTGAATTCACTGTTTTGTTCAAGTGGCTGTAGTTTTAGAGCAGAATAAAATTCATCACTGATAAGTAGCAGATTAAGGAAGCCTGAGGTCAAAGTGCAAGCATATCCAGTGTCTGACTAAAAGTGACTTTATGGTTCCTAGTAAATGTGTTCTTGGCTAAATATCAAGATGTTTGAAGGGGCCTGGGAGGCTTCTAGGTTTTCTTTTATAAAAAAAAATTATAAAAATTCAATACTTTTATTTTTGGGATAGCAAAAATAAAGTAAAATAAAAAGTATATATCAGTTACCAAGTATTGACAACAGGCTCTTATATCTGTATTTCTATATTCAACCCAATATATCTACTTGTATCACAAATTGATAGGAGAGGTTATTTTCATCTTCTTCGCTGTCCAAGAAATAACTGATGAATAGAATTTTCTTTATTTCCACTGTTCACTAAGGCAGCTACTAGTCATATGTGGCTCTAAATATGTGACAGGTGGCTAGTGTATCTAAAGAAATTCACTTATTTTAGTTAAACTTGAACATCAATATGAAGATATGACTACTAAGCGGCAATGCTAAACCACAACATCCATTTCTAGAAACTACCCGGTAATAGTACATCTTATTTTCTATCAATCTGCCCTAAATTTATACAATTGCTTATGTGCAAGGTTTCACATTGAAAATGTATTTGCAATTTAGTTTTCTTAGCATCCTTACATTCCCATTATATTTTATTCCATTTTTTCTTATCATTGTATATACACACGTATGCACAAATACACTGTTGAACATAAGAACAGAATAAAAGTTTTAACTTTTACTGTTATGTGAGCAATCTGGTATGTTTTCTTCTTGGGTTGTCACTGAAGTTGCTTATTTTTTTCTTCAAATTTCAACTAAATTTATATGAGAAATTCCTATTGTTATGTGGGGATGTCATTATGACTAACACTGTACCCATTCTTTTATGATTCTCGCTGTGCCTAATATCATTTAGCAACTATTCTCTCAGTCTCTAATGTCCTAATTCTTAGTATTGCTGACTAAATTAGGAATTAGACCCTATATGTAAATAGTAAGTGTTAAAAAAAGAAAATTTCAGCTGAACGTGGTGGCAAAAGATTGTAATCACAGTTCTGAGATAGAAGCAGGAACATTAGAAGTTCAAATCCATACCCATGTGCATAGCAAATTTGAATACAGTGTAAAATATCAAAGGCACACAAAGCACCAAAACAAGAATAAGATGATATTAATAGTTTTTAGATTTAAACTTTAACGATGGATGTGATTATCTGGTAAATTAACTGCCTTACTATTTTTATTTTGTATTATCAATTTAATACTTCTATTGCTAAATTTATTCTCAGGATATTTTGGATATCTTATCATTTCAGGATCATCAAACAATTTTGAGAGCATGGGCTGTGAAAGATTTTGCTCCAAATTGTCCTTTGTATGTTCAGATATTAAAACCTGAAAATAAATTCCACATCAAATTTGCAGGTAAGCTTTGATCTTTACTGACAGCCTTTGAATTCTTTCATTTAATTCCTCCAGGCTCTTATGATATTTATTGTTTACATTTGTAAAGTGAGTGACCATTCATTAACTCATGGTTCTGAAGGGCAGAAATGATTCTCTTTTAATTATTCATTTAAAATACAAAAATTTCTAAGATGCAAGAATATGATATTTGAGATGAATCTTTGCTTTAGACATTTAACTTGCTGTTTTTATCACCAGAGTTTACTGTGCATGTTTGTAAGTTTATTTGTATTTTTAAAAGAAGCTGTGAATAAGTTTTATGTTCAGTTCTTTGCTTAATTTATTACTCAAAACAGAAATTACCTTAACCTGTAGTATATTGCAGTGTGATACATTAATATGCAATCTTTAATTTGAGTTATAGACCTTAAAATAACTTAAACAAAATGTAGATCTTCTGTTTTATGGCTTTAGAGACATCATTTTTAAAATAAAAAGTTACATGGGCTGTGGAGTTCATGCTTTGCATCATTAGTTAATTGAACAATAAAATTATATTTAATTATTTTTCCTAAATGCTTCTGTGGGAGAAAGGCACAATTCTGTGTCTGATCAGTAATTCATATACTTTTCTCCGCAATCATAATGGGCATGTTCTGTATTTTTTATTTTGTTTTAAGTTATCTCAACAATCAAAGTTTAAATGGTTATTAAAATGTAAGTCCTTGAAGCAACATGACACAAGTTACTTTGTACACAATGTGTCCACATAACTTAAATGGTAACTTGTTGGGTTTTTATCCTGAAATAAACATTATAAATTAATTTTAAATAATAAGAAAATAATGAGGTGGTGTATCAGAGTTAGTTCTACCATGCCCTGCCCGTGTCATAAATGACTTAATCAGTTGGTCTTCTGAAAATGTGTATAGGACAATCTAAAACCCCGACTCTTTACCCTGTGTATTATTACACTTATTAAGATCTTTAGAAAATACTCATTGCTTGAGGTCCCATTGGAGTGGTCTGATGTGGTGGTTCCAAGGCCACCAAAGCTGAAAAGTACACACAAGAATCATTCAAGATAGATGCCTTTGTGTGTGAAATGGAAAAGTATATGTGAAGTACCTCATTAAGGGTTTTCCCATGATCCTGTTTGAAGTAAACATTAATGTTTTCAATTACCATTGATAAATTAAAAATAACATATTAGGGTATCATTAATGAATGAGCAGTAAACAAAATCTTAAGGTAAAGTTTTAAATCTGAAAGTCAACATTTAAGACTTGAAAAGCTCAGGTATGCGAATTACTATTCAGTGTGATGCTTTTCCTTCTTACTGAAAAGTTGCCTCTGTTCCATCAAATAAGGTTAGTGGTGGGGATTAAAGTATATTTGGAAAACTTTTAACCATCTATTGGATAATAATGGATCTAAATATTGAGCAATAGCTGCTGGTAGTATGAACAAGAACCCGTAATTTTGAATGTGAGATAATGCACACTCAGAGGTGATATCCACTCTTCTGCACTTTTCTTATACAGTCATCAATAATATGCTTCCCGTAGATTGATCACATGTGTTGAAATAGTCTATAAACAAGTCAGGTGCTGCAGAAACTATTCTGGTGATTTTCTTTCAAATATTTCACTTGACATTATGTTTATAAACCTACCAAGATGAGGCCATTATTTCAAAACTCTTTTCCAAGGGTTCATCTCAATATTTCTTATTTTGACACATGTTGAAATTCTGCTTAATAGTGCTTTAAGATTTTTTATAGTTGAGATTACAACATTTCAGATGGGAGTCTTTTTATAGTATTAAAGATAAAAGCATTGTAGCTTCAGTAAAATGTCATAAATATATTAAAGCTGATATATGAAATTCTCAAATCATTATAATTCATTTCATATCTCAGCAAGATTTTGAAAAGTAACACACTTTTCTTAATAAAAGTCAATGGATGAAACTGTCAGCTTGGATAATATATTGCTAAAATGATGGTCTCCAAGGAACCTAACTTCATCCCTCTGGTATGTGGTCTTTTAGCCTCTGTGCTGCGTGTGAAGATGTTCTGTTTAGCGTGTTGTAAGAAAGGAAAGAAAGAGGAAATATAAGACCCATCCATCCTGGTGCCTGATGGATATCTCCCAGAAAGTACCCAACAGTAGTAACTATTTTGTACATATTTTCATACCCCCAATGTCAGATGGAACTTAACAGTTTCTTTGCTCAAATGAAGCAATGCTAACTTTCTTTTACAATCAATTTTTGAATATTTTTTTTTCATTTTGGGGTTATTTTTGTCAGATTTTGATAGATTAAATTCAAATGGTACTTTATCTTTGGTTATGTTAAATCTATTTTCATTGAGAAAAATTTTCAATAATGTAATTTTGTGTTGTGACAATTGGCACTGAAGCCTATAACACAGATTATTACAGCATTCTATAACTAAGAGTGATGGAGAATGTTGCTGTTTGATATATTCATACATTGCCTATTTACTTCATGTGTACCCAATAATTCTAGTGAAGCCTCTCCTTATCAATATTCAATATAAAAACATCTACAGAATATTTATACTTCCATATTGTTGAGGGCCTTATAAATTACTTCTTCTCAGTTGAAAAACCCTTATTGGAAAAATGCAAAAATTAAAGTTCAGATATAGACATATACCTACAGAACATTTAGTCATACTAAAATAAATCTCATAATTGCCTTTTCTGTTTGCATTTCAAACTTATTTAAAAGCCTCGAAGCGCATGTGCACAGACCAACAGACACAGACAGGCAGACAGACACAGACACACATAGAGACAGACAGACACTGTACATACTATAAGAGGAATGAAAGTGAGAGAGAGGAGGGAGGGAGGGAAGGAGGGAGGGAGGGATGAAGGGAGGGAGGGAGTTGCATATATTTTCTGCTAGAAAGGAGAAAAACTTGAATGAATACCAATCAGCTTTACAAACACACTGCATTCTCTTGTTCATGAGCTTAATCTACAAGACAGGCTTATGAAATTACTTGCCATTTAATTGCAAGGCGGATGAATGCTGTAGGATAGTGTTATAAGGATGAACCGCAGGCAAGCTTAAGGTAACTATCTAATCCCATTACCCCCAGTAAAATGTTAGATGCTCTGCACACAACTCATTTCTCTTTTCTCACATATCTTTTCTTTCTCACCTGATTTTAAGTCAGAGAAAAGATTGCAAAACTCAATTAGCATTAGAAATTATGAATTTCCCATAAATTTTACTTTTATATATTAAGGTATTTTGCAAATAACATAATATGACTGCCGTTAATGAATGAAAATCACACCCATATTTCTACATGTTTACTGAATGAAATACTTTCCACTTCACAACTACAACAAATCTGAAGTATGAATCATTCACTACAGTTGTGGGAGTTAGCTCTCCACTAATTACAAAGCATAATTACAATAAGTTATATGTGAACAAAAGTAAATATACAGTTAACAGTACTTTTGACAGTGTTATAAGTCATGAATTTTTATTAGCATGACTACAGTTGCAAAGACATTATTGTAAATAATGCATGCATACAACTCTTATTTCTTATGGAGAAATTGTTTGATTAAAATTTTTGAAGATTATATTTCATCTTAGACACTATGTGCATTTTTTGTGAACCCTTAGATTTTTCAGTACCTCACTTTTGCCCACGCAGAAAAGAGAGTGTGGAATATCTCCAAGCAATATAAATATTGGAAATTAACTTAGCTGTTTCTAAATAGCATATGGTTGTGCAGGCTTGACTTTCTCCAAATGGTAAAGTGTGATATTTTCAAGCAGAGTGATTTCTCATTTCCCATGTCACACCCACATAGACATTATCTTAAACTTTGCTTCTGCAACCTGCTTAAGAACACAACGCCTTGAATGTCTGTACTTTCAAAATATAGAACATAAGAACTTTGAAATTCTTGATGTTTCTAGATGGAACACAGACTATTTAACAGAAGGCCTTGTTCAGTACTATCTAGAGAATCTTTTTTTGTTTTGAAAAATTCAGCTTGCACTTTATGGGTTATTAAGTAATGAAAGTTTTCATTTCATCTATATTTGCTGATTCTTAGCAATTTGTTTTATTTGCTTAATCTTTCTGTCCATAAATACACATAAACGGACACACATACTACACACAGACACAGACACCTACAAGTTCATATGTATACATGTAAGATACATGCCTATTAGACACACATCCCTACACACATATCTAAAAATGCACACATGTGCAGGCATCCATATAGAAACACACATAAACATATACACATAAATCCATGTATGAACACAACAGATTCATACTTCAGCAAGATTCTCCAGAAAAGGCTGTTCGGCTTCATAGAGCTATACTAACAATTTTAATGCATGAACAGGTTAATAATAATACTATTCATCTAGTGCATATTCATGTTTTTTAATATTTGCAATACACTCTTAATGCTACATTTTAAAATTCAGTATTTTCTGAACATTTCTTCTTGTAAATTTTTGTTGAATACTTTAAATTGAAATACATTTAACTTTAGATATGTTAACTATTGCACAGAATTCATGTACTTTCAGTTTGTTTTCTACAGATTATAAATTTCATATATCACATAACTATGCCATGTTTTGTCTAAACAATAAGTTATGATTATATATGTTTTTTAAGTAAAATATATTCTGGGATATCATTTTTGCTTCTCATTTTTTTAAAAAGATAGCACTTTCTTTTTATCTTAGTGGCCTTTGCAATTTTGATATATGCTTTTATAAATTAGCCATCCCTCTAACTAACTTTTTTAACACCTGAATAAGTTGGTATTGCAAAATGGGTTTATTAGGTAGTGTTTTTGTAGGCCACTTATAATTTAATTAACTTATAGCACTTTTATGATTCCTCTCTTACAATTTCAAATGTTTGTATAATTCTCAAACACTCAAACTCATAATTCTTTGCAGAGTAAAATATTTTGTCACATTTGGAA